GTGTTTAGCCACTTGCATCAGGTCTACGGTGAGACTAACAGCTGAACAGACTTGTATTACCTTCTGTACAGGCTAACCACGGCAAACGTGAGGATTTCAAAAGTAAATTTTAAAGCACTTATTAACAGTAATAACAATAGATGCTCTCTGTGTATTTTGATGGGGATACCTGCCTACGCTTGCATAGAGCATCAAAAAATAGGATGAAAAAAGGTACTACTCCATACGCGTGTCTAGGCCATAGAGTAGAGCTACCCTACTTTCAATGTATTCTGCAAATTACACGTCCAAAAGTTGTAGTGCGTTACGCCCCCAAAGGTATGCTGGATCACCAGAGAACTATGGACAGCCAAGTTCAGTTTTAAGGATTTTATTACAATAATCTGTAGAGTTTTAGTTTAAAAAGGGGAGTGGGAATAGTCCACTGAGTTTATAAAAAGGTTAAAAACTTAGAGCTAGTCCAGAGGTCCGGGCTTTCAATCGGCTAACGTTACTCCATGTCCGGCAAATGACGGCTGGCACGGCTGGTGTGGTGCTTTGTCCCCAGTGCGCCCCAGTTTCACCCATGGATTGGCCCATGAGTTTTCAGACAGCCCAGGACATCCTAAACAGATGACAACCAGGTGTGAGGAAGTTTAAAACAACTGCTTTGTACCAACCTGAACAGACAACCAGGTGTGAGAGACAGGGAAATACTATAGGCACCGCCCCCCAGCTGCCAATTATAATGGCCACTGACCCACACCAAACAAAAGAAAAACCCACACAAAGAAAAACCACACCCATTAAAGAGGTACGAGTACGGTGGTGTATTGCTATCACTCCCCAAAAAATATTTCGGCTCAGTATCACGTAATTACGTGAAAAGTTTCACGTTATAACGTGATATTTTTCACGTTATAACGTGAAATTATCACGTTATTTCATGATATGAAATTCTCACGTTATTTCATGATGTGGTATTTTCACGTTATAACGTGAAATTATCACGTTATAACGTGATATGAAATGATCACGTTATTACATGATATGAATTTATCACGTTATTTCGTGATAAGCATTTATCACGTTATTTCATGATATATTCACGTTATTACGTGAAAACGTCAATTATGGTTTTGCGTGACTCCAGCCTGAGCATGGCCCATGCTGAAAATGTGGATTCTCCACTCTTGAGATTACTTCGGGCTCGTGTTGTCTCCTTCGCATGAAGCAAGATCGTGTAAGTGTATTTTACTGTTTCGTCCCCAAGTTGTGTTAGCGTACGGTAGCAGAATGCTCTGTAAGCAACTGCTGAATATTAGAGCTGGAGCGAGTTGTTCGCTGTGGGTAGAGCTGCTAAAAGTACCTAGTCTGTTTGCAATTCTGTTACAGCTCCTAAGAATTAGTTAAAGACAAAAGCATTCATTTGACACATTTCGGTGTTTCCAGTTATTTATGAATAATGACCATAAAACATTGTTGACGGTATGCACTCAGACATAGACAGTGTAAGAGAAGGTTATTCAGAAAATGTGGTGTAGTTAGCTAAGCTAAGCCCCACTTCAACTCATCTGAGCCCGGCCTGGGCAGGGGAACAGCGCTCAGAGGTCCCTGTGCTCCTCCGGTTCAGGCCGGGCTCAGATGATCTGGAGCAGGGAGTGGTTAGGTGCCTCGGCCTGAGAAGCGCTTTTCTCGAGAAGAACCAAGTGCACGGAGGCTCAGAACAGTAACGAACCAGACCGGATTCGCGCTTCTGTCCGGATGCTTTACTCCACCTCAGAACCAGCCGCAACGCTACACCGGAGCAACCCGCACGGACCTAGAGTTCACTGCGCATTCTCGCTTTCCCCGCACGGAACCAGCACGCAGAGGACGGCACGGAACCGCTCAGCGATGTCTTTACTGCTGTTGGCTGCTGCTGTTACCCGAACTCAGAGCTTCTGGGCTGATGTGCAGCGAGTTGTGTACAAAGTTGTAGGCTACATGTGCTGTTTTATGAGTTTATGATGATAACTTGGGATGAGGACGGCCGTGGTGTTTTATGGTCTTTATTCATGAAGAACCGACATGTGTCAAACGAATGCTTTTGTCATGAACGATGGAGCTATAACAGAATTGCAATTTTAGCAGCTCTTTGCCCACAGCGAACAACTTGCTACAGCACTCGTTCAGCAGTTGCTTACTTTCTGCTATCTTGAGGACGAAACAGTAAAATACTCTTACAAGATCTTGCTCCATGGGAAGGAGATAGTGTTCTGGTGTGTTCTGGTACACCACGAGCCCAAAGAAATCTCGAGAGTGGAGAATCCACACTTTCAGCCTGGGCCATGCTCACGTTGGAGTTGACTGAAGGGAAGCGTGACTGTCTTATTTTTCCGGATCCGCGGCGGAGGCGCGGCTGATCCGCTGCGTATCTCGCGGACCCGCCCAGGACCCGTTTTGGATCCGTGTTCAGAACCGGGTTATCTGGCCCGGATCTGCTGCGGTTCTGCCACGGATCTGTTTATTATGTCGTTAGGAGCCTAAATGTGCTTCAGATTTAATTCTGATCCACTTCCTACTGACCTAAATACGCACAGCAACATTTGCATTGAAACTGTACATAAAACACCTTTTACAGCAAGTATCACAACTAGGATGTAGATGCTTACATTTAAAAACATGAACTTCAACAACTCAAAGTTGGATCAGTGATATCCTAACATTAAATCTCATTATTTAACAAAAGAAGCAGCAGATTTTTTACAATGTAAACGATGTTTATTTTATTCATTTATTACAAATCTTAGAACATGAGTAATTATTATTAACGGTATAGGACTGTATGCCCTTTGAGTTAACCAATGCATTGTTCTAAAAATGAAAATTACAATTTGCAGTCTTTACTAAAATAGTTCATATTAAGCAAAGTTTAAAAAAAAAAGCAAAAATACAAATATAAGCCATATGAGTAAAAGCATGGACAGATGAGAGTAGCCAAATATCTTATTCTTAAAACTTAACTTTTACTTCTGATCAATGTGCAGGGGCTCCTTTTGGGGACACTCAGCAGAAGAGCGGTCATCTGGGGAAAAGAATATAAGTTTTGGTTGGTTAGCTAATGTTATCTGTTGTTAAAAGTTATGCCTTACATTATTGTATTAAGGCACCGACATGATTGCACTTTAGTCTTAAGAGTCAATACGCTGCACAAATAATAATAATCTGTGGTTAAAAACACAACCAGTTCAGACACCGGTGTCACAGTGGCTCCACAGCCGAGGGGAGAGCTTCAAGAGCGGTGTCCAGCCAGAACCGAGCCCGTGAGCAACAACTAATGATCACAGAGCAGAGTTATAATTCCGTGATCGTAAAAACATATATGAATATAAGTAGCGATATATAAAAATAGTATTTAGATTGAGATTTACCTCAAGAGATGGAGTTGTCTCGACACCCAACCTCGCTTCATCACGTTAGCTGCTACTGTCGCTAACTTTACTGCTACTGCATTCATCAAAACTGATAAAACACACAATCACAGACGTACAGACATCACAATGTAACGTTAACGTTGTGTACATTAATGATGACTAATACAATTAACTTTTAAACTATTACTTACAGTTAAATCCGCGGACAACAGGTGAGTGCTCCTCCTTTCCACTCAGCTCCCGCTAACAGCTGATGAGTCAATGATGCGTCCGCAAAGCGAATCTGAACCGGTTTAGCCGCGGATCCGCTCATTGATAGAACAGCCGATCCGCAAAGCGGACTGACTGTGGGGCGAATTTGGGGGACCGAAAGGGAATCTGCTGCGGATCCTAATGCTATCAGGGTCCATATATCACGAAATAACGTGATAATTTCATATCACGTATTAACGTGATAATTTCACGTTATAATGTGAAAATACCACATCACGAAATAACGTGATAATTTCATATCATGTAATAACGTGATAATTTCATATCACGTATTAACGTGATAATTTCACGTTATAACGTGAAAATACCACATCATGAAATAACGTGATCATTTCATATCATGAAATAATGTGATAATTTCACGTTATAACGTGAAAAATATCACGTTATAACGTGAAACTTTTCACGTAAATACGTGATACTGAGCCAAAATATTTTTTGGGGAGTGAGAGCAATACACCACTGTACACGAGGCCCGGTTACAATAATCTCAAACTGGCTGATGTGGCTCTATAATGGTTATGGTTTATATGTTGTAAAGTTGTTGTAAACTAGAAGTCAGCTTAAAAATTAAGTTCAGTCTTTCATTTACATATCTCACCTAAAAATAAAATGAACTGAACTTTTAACTAGTTCAAAATTAGAATTGTGAACTATGAATGTGAACTGTTCACTTTGAACATGTGTGAACTGAACTTGGAACTAGTTCATGAAAGTGTGAACTTGCACAACACTGCATAAATCTATAGTTCTTAACTGAACATCCACTGTAGGGTGTTCTGTGCAGAGTACTTACCAGCTGAAATCTTCCACTCCACCTTTGGTAATTTAGGCCCTGGAATACCTAGAACGCTGATTTTGCTTGCCCTTCATGTTAGTGAAGGGTAGTGGCAGGATAGTGGAATTATGCCCTATCTATGCTTTTAAGCCTAAGGTCACGACTACCTTCAGGTCTAGAGCTATTAGTCTGTAGAGTTAGCTCACTGTAAAACAAGATGTGTAAATTATAACTCACCTCACATGTACAGAAGATCTGGTACTATGAGCCTATACAGTCTAGGCATGAAGTTTTTTATTTTTAATTTTTAAATTAAATTAAAGTATTATGTGTATTAAAGAGCATTTGACATCATGTATAATCCTAATTAAATAAATATAATTGAGAGAAAAAATAACAGCAATGTATTTTTTCTGTGTTTTTATTTGTGTGAAATGCCTCTCACAGTTTCGAAAAAGTGAGATACCTGGGAGTAATGACAAAGACACTCAAGGGCAATACTGTACTGCTCAGGCCAACATGCCAGTGACCTTAAATAAAATCAATAACTTGCATCAAGTAATATTAATGTCATTATTTCTTTCCCCACAAAACAAATAAATCTTCAAATATTTCCTGAAAGTTTTATCTCGTATCCCGTAAACAAGTGGACTGACAAGCCGTGGCATCACATTGGCTATTATGGTCACAGCAAAGCGAATAGCGAGCAAACTCTGAGGAAACAAATACGTCAGTCCTGTTGTAAGTGGACTATACATATATGTGAGCATGGAGAGACTTAGCTGGAAGCTATGAAGCAGAACTGTGTTTCTGGCCTTTTTGGCGTCAGATGAAGCTGATTTTGCTGTAAAAAGTATTTTGAAATATGTGTAGATAAGAGTCGTCCACACAATGGCCATTAATACAGCATTCAAGATAGTGTCTTTCTTATTTATGCCAGGACTTCTGAAAAGATCTGTTCTTTGACAAAACACTCGAGATTGAAAAAAGCCAAGATGTTCTGTGGCTAAAGAGACAAACACATCTGGAAGAACAGACTGTGCACTTATCAGCCAAATGAAGCCAATGACAATGTAGGTTTTCTTAACTGTAATGATCTGTGAGTGTCGCAGAGGGAAGCAGACAGCAACATAGCACTCAATGGCCATGACGGCAAGAGTCATAGGGTTGTTTAAATTAGCAGGTAAACCTAAAAGAAGGAAAAGAATGCACAACCACACATGGAAAGTGTAAACTATGTAGCTCAAGACTTGAATGAGCGTCAGCAGTGTCATCAGGATGATGTCGTTGATCACCAGGTGGATGTAGAGGATGTAGCGAGGATTCATTTTGAATATCTACAGGACAAAGAAAAATATTGATATACACAACAATAAAGTAGGTCATATGTTTTAAGCTTTGTTTTTAAGTGTATTATTATTATTATTATTATTATTATTATTATTATTATTATTATTATTACTCATCCCGTTTTGGGCAAAAACATGTTTTAGTATTGAACTAGATGTATGTATTTATGTACTATTTCATTTGAGAGAAATGTTATCGACTTCAGAAAGACCTCTTAGAGTCAATATAGAGAGAAAAGGTTACAAATACTTGAAGTACATTGTTAGAAAAATTCAATTTCTGTGCTGAACTGAGCTGACAGTGAGAGCCTTCAGTACAGCACAGAACTGGAATTTGTCTAACAACTGACATATCTCCAAACATTCTCAAACTATATATAATTTAGATGTACAGAAATACAAAACCAAGAGCATGGTGCGATGGATAGCAAATGTGAGAAATTCGTTTTTCCACATTCCGATATATTGTTGTAATTGTTGTACAAAGACTTTTCACCAATATGTAACAAAATTGTTAGAAGAACAGCAGTCACATCTCTCTGCCATCGGCATCCAGAAATAGTAACAGACAGGGTCATTCTCTCAGATGCCTCACATGGGCACAGAGAAAAAGGGAAGCCCATCAAACTCCAAATCAACCGACTGAAAACTGCTGTTACATTCAAAGAAGAGCTCGTAGTGTGTAGAGAAAAGAAAAAAAAAAGAATATTCTGACTGCAGAATGTGAGTCAACTAACTGTCTGTGAATGATGTTCATAAATGTAAAAAATACAGTTGAATATATTTCCCAAACTATACAGTTAACAATAACATTTAATATCACAGCATCCCCTGTGTTAAAGAAAGTAATTATTTTACAAGAAAAGATCAGTTACTGGTGTGAAGCTTTTAAGTATATTTCATCTGAATCTTTATACTGCTCCTACTGACCTCGTGCTTCATAAAGATATAAACCAGAGTAGCATTAATGTAGTTGATGGACAGACACAGAGTCACCGTGATGACATTTTTCATTATTGCAGTCTTCAGATCGTCCCTCACCACCACAGGAGTAGAGTTAGAGCCAGAGCCGGAAAAATTCATTGGAAATATCCTTGAAATAAAAAACACTGCTTTAGTAAGGTCAATATTTACAATTGAAATTTACACAAAAATCAAATCAAGGTTAAATACAATTCATGTTCATATTGAGGAGATACCTGATCAAGAGATTTAGTAGTAATACAAACAAAACCTTTAGTGCACATCACAATAGATTAGAAGATCTCCTCGTCTGGTTCCTCCATTCACACTTGAAGATGCAATGATACAGTTGTCTCAAGGTAGATTATTTATAGGATTTAAAGATGTCTTGGGATCAGCGTCACATGTTTAGAATTTTCACTGATGAAGAAGCTTGTTGAGAAAGAAGAGGAGTTATTAAAGATTTTAAAAGGTTTTCTGGAGTTTAAAAGAAAAAACAAAAAAACATGTTTTTAAATACTCAACTTGATTCCTTGGTGTAAAACACATTGGGCCTCATTCATGAAACATTCTTATCATTTGTTCCTGATGTGGCACCACATCATCAGAGCGCTGTGTTTATTAAGTTTATTAAAGTTAAGGGTGATCCTGTTGTAGGACTTGACTAGATGACAAGTCTTGTATCTAAAATAATGTTTGATCTGAATGTAGCGTTAGGATTATGTAACAGCAGGGCGTCAAAACATCATGTAGCATCATTTTAGCACGAGATAAGTACTGGAGTACATCTTTTTAGGACGATTTTCCATTGGTCGCTGGTGATGTTAGCACAGTTCCTTCTACATTCTGTCCAAATCCAGAAGGGTGTGGAATCTCACCAAAGAGCTTTACAAACCTCCATCCTAATTTGGGACGATCTAACCACAGCTGAGAATATGTTTCCTGTGTCTCAAATGCAGAAAACATCACATGGAAACTCACATAACATTCAGAACAAAATATGCAAATGATGATGATTTTTACAAATTTTTTATTTTTGGTTAGTATTTTCAGTCGTTTACAGCGGCTGAAACAATGCTCATCTATTCCCTATCCTATTAAATCAAACTCTTGTACAGGATACTAAAACAGTTTTACAGTAACATTCATAAGCAAAACACAAATAATCTGCCTGTTATTTTACGTGCAAGTCGCCATGTTTGTTTGGAGATGAACGGACCATGCAGATTGCTTCATCCGTTTGTCAGTGAGGCCCTCTGGAATCTGTAAGAAAGGATAAGGGTCCAGGCCCACTTTTCTTTGTAAAGTGTTGTTAAAGTTGTGGTTTTGGTTGACCAGGTAAGAAGGTCTGGTCTCTGACAGTGTAATGTCATCAGGAAGCTGAGTGGGGGAGCTATAAATTACAGCTCTTCTTTAAAATTGACTCTTTGGAGATTTTAACCATGTTATAACATTGTTTCCTCAATCAAAAACATATCTGGAATTGTACTTAAGTCCATTTGTGCTTGTTTCATGAATTTCCCAAATCCACTCAAAACATTCAGTTTACATTTTCCCAGGATTGTTCCATCACAGACAAAAGTCCCGACATTTCCTGCTCTGTTTTTCAGTCCATAAACCATTGTCCAACTCAATAAATGTGCATCTTTGTGTAAGCATGTCAGAAAAGGTTAACTTTAATAATAGTTATTTCTTCAATTTTAATTCCATCTACAGCCAGTAGAGGGTGTCTTAACACCAGACCATTGTATAGGGAGTGCATGTGTAGAAACATCGTGGCTTCTCTCTGTAGATACAGAAATGTATTTCATAACTTTAAAACAGAAAAATCTGTTCAAAATTTTGATATTTTGGAACTTGTATCTTAATAAAAGTGTAAAATTACAGTGTAAGTTTTTAGTTTTATGACAGAGTTGACAATAACCACATTCAGTTATGAAATATATAATACCTTTTTAGTCCAAAGAATCTTGCTGATAACTTACAATTTATTATTTCGTTGACTTTCTCTTTTTCTCATAAAACAAATGTTTTTTTAAGTATTTCCTGAAGGTTTGATCTCGTATCCCGTAAACAAGTGGACTGACAAGCCGTGGCATCACACTGACTATCGTGGACACAGCAAAGCGAATATCGGGCAAACTCTGAGGAAACAAATACGTCAGTCCTGTTATAAATGGAATGTACATATATGTGAGCATGGACAGACTTAGCTGGAAACTATGAAGCAGAACTGTGTTTCTGGCTTTTTTGGCATCAGATGAAGCTGATTTTGCTGTGAAAAGTATTTTGAAATATGTGTAGATAAGAGTCATCCACACAGTGCCCATTAATACAGCATTTAAGAGAGTGTCTTTCATATTGATGCCAGGACTTCTGAAAATATATGTCCTTTGACAAAACACTCGAGATTGAAAAAAGCCAAGATGTTCTGTGGCTAAAGAGACAAACACATCTGGAAGAACAGACTGTGCACTTATCAGCCAAATGAAGCCAATGACAATGTAGGTTTTCTTAACTGTAATGATCTGTGAGTGTCGCAGAGGGAAGCAAACAGCAACATAGCACTCAATGGCCATGACGGCAAGAGTCATAGGGTTGTTTAAATTAGCAGGTAAACTTAAAAGAAGGAAAAGAATGCACAACCACACATGGAAAGTGTAAATTATGTACAACAAGACTTGAATGAGCGTCAGCAGTGTCATCAGGATGATGTCGTTGATCACCAGGTGGATGTAGAGGATGTAGCGAGGATTCATTTTGAATATCTACAGGACAAAGAAAAATATTGATATACACAACAATAAAGTAGGTAGTATTTTTGAACATGAGTTGAATTCAGAATATTTTAGCTTTGTTTTTAAGTGTATTCTTCTTCTTCTTCTTCTTCTTATTACTATTATTATTATTATTATATTCATCCTGTGTTGGGCAAAAACATGTTTTAGTATTGAAATAAATGTAGTCCTATTTCATTTGAGAGAAATGTTATCGACTTCAGAAAGACCTCTTAGAGTCAATATAGAGAGAAAAGGTTACAAATACTTGAAGTACATTGTTAGAAAAATTAAATTTCTGTGCTGAACTGAGCTGACAGTGAGAGCCTTCAGTACAGCACAGAACTGGAATTTGTCTAACAACTGACATATCTCCAAACATTCTCAAAACTATAATTTAGATGTACAGAAATACAAAACCAAGAGCATGGTGCGATGGATAGCAAATGTGAGAAATTCGTTTTTCCACATTCCGATATATTGTTGTAATTGTTGTACAAAGACTTTTCACCAATATGTAACAAAATTGTTAGAAGAACAGCAGTCACATCTCTCTGCCATCGGCATCCAGAAATAGTAACAGACAGGGTCATTCTCTCAGATGCCTCACATGGGCACAGAGAAAAAGGGAAGCCCATCAAACTCCAAATCAACCGACTGAAAACTGCTGTTACATTCAAAGAAGAGCTCGTAGTGTGTAGAGAAAAGAAAAAAAAAGAATATTCTGACTGCAGAATGTGAGTCAACTAACTGTCTGTGAATGATGTTCATAAATGTAAAAAATACAGTTGAATATATTTCCCAAACTATACAGTTAACAATAACATTTAATATCACAGCATCCCCTGTGTTAAAGAAAGTAATTATTTTACAAGAAAAGATCAGTTACTGGTGTGAAGCTTTTAAGTATATTTCATCTGAATCTTTATACTGCTCCTACTGACCTCGTGCTTCATAAAGATATAAACCAGAGTAGCATTAATGTAGTTGATGGACAGACACAGAGTCACCGTGATGACATTTTTCATTATTACAGTCTTCAGATCTTCCCTCACCACCACAGGAGTAGAGTTAGAGCCAGAGCCGGAAAAATTCATTAGAAATATCCTTGAAACAAAAACACTGCTTTAGTAAGGTCAATATTTACAATTGAAATTTACACAAAAATCAAATCAAGGTTAAATACAATTCATGTTCATATTGAGGAGATACCTGATCAAGAGATTTAGTAGTAATACAAACAAAACCTTTAGTGCACATCACAATAGATTAGAAGATCTCCTCGTCTGGTTCCTCCATTCACACTTGAAGATGCAATGATACAGTTGTCTCAAGGTAGATTATTTATAGGATTTAAAGATGTCTTGGGATCAGCGTCACATGTTTAGAATTTTCACTGATAAAGAAGCTTGTTGAGAAAGAAGAGGAGTTATTAAAGATTTTAAAAGGTTTTCTGGAGTTTAAAAGAAAAAACAAAAAAACATGTTTTTAAATACTCAACTTGATTCCTTGGTGTAAAACACATTGGGCCTTATTCATGAAACATTCTTATCATTTGTTCCTGATGTGGCACCACATCATCAGAGCGCTGTGTTTATTAAGTTTATTAAAGTTAAGGGTGATCCTGTTGTAGGACTTGACTAGATGACAAGTCTTGTATCTAAAATAATGTTTGATCTGAATGTAGCATTAGGATTATGTAACAGCAGGACGTCAAAACATCATGTAGCATCATTTTAGCACCAGATAAGTACTGGAGTACATCTTTTTAGGACGATTTTCCATTGGTCGCTGGTGATGTTAGCACAGTTCCTTCTACATTCTGTCCAAATCCAGAAGGGTGTGGAATCTCACCAAAGAGCTTTACAAACCTCCATCCTAATTTGGGATGATCTAATCACAGCTGAGAATATGTTTCCTGTGTCTCAAATGCAGAAAACATCACATGGAAACTCACATAACATTCAGAACAAAATATGCAAATGATGATGATTTTTTAATTTTTTTTAATTTTTGGTTAGTATTTTCATTCGTTTACAGCAGCTGAAACAATGCTCATCTATTCCCTATCCTATTAAATCAAACTCTTGTACAGGATACTAAAACAGTTTTACAGTAACATTCATAAGCAAAACACAAATAATCTGCCTGTTATTTTTACGTGCAAGTCGCCATGTTTGTTTGGAGATGAACGGACCATGCAGATTGCTTCATCCGTTTGTCAGTGAGGCCCTCTGGAATCTGTAAGAAAGGATACGGGTCCAGTCCCACTTTTCTTTGTAAAGTGTTGTTAAAGTTGTGGTTTTGGTTGACCAGGTAAGAAGGTCTGGTCTCTGACAGTGT